AAAATACGGCAGAACGACATGCTACCGATCCTGACAGTTGTGAGTTTTCATCAGTCATCCGGGTACCTTTTAACTCGAGTTTTCATGCATGCAAAAAATATGCAGTCCAGAAACGTTTAGTATCTTGCAAAGATAAAACTCCTGTTTAAGGGTTAAAACACATTTAGTAATGATTATAATGTTGGTCAGTTTAAAATTTTGTTTTTTTTTGTTTTTGGCTTCTTGCTCTGATTTCACAGACATGTGTTGATTAGAGGTTTGCAAACAGATTTCAGTTGAGTCATTGTTTCTGTCAACAGATTTTTCACTTGCTTGTTGTGATAATCAAAGTGAAAAGAATGACTCTTATCACATTCTGGGCATTCCTTTTGTTAACATACACACTCATTTCTGGCTAAAGAAAACAAAACTGGCTGATAGTATTCAGTTAATAATTCAGACAAAAAACAATATGAAATTCTGATGCAAGAGGAAGAAGTTTTGTTTAAATTCCTGTGATGGGTTCTTCCTGTTAGACATTGTCATTGAAATCAGTTAATATTATTTTATATTGAATGTTTCATTTGTATACTATTAAGTAAATTTCATCAATTTACTTCTGATAAATTTCATCATGGAAACTGTATCATTACATATATAGTGACATAGCAAATACTAAAAGCATAGATAGAAATTCATTGCAAATGATTTTTACTATAGGAATGCATTGCAAATTATTTACTAGCCATTTATATAAGCTATCTTATCACTGATAGGATTTATTAAACAAATCCATCCAAACTTTCATTCCCTCTAATGATTACATATATAGTGACATAGCAAATACTAAAAGCATAGATAGAAATTCATTGCAAATGATTTTACTATAGGAATGCATTGCAAATTATTTACTAGCCATTTATATAAGCTGTCTTATCACTGATAGGATTTATTAAACAAATCCATCCAAACTTTCATTCCCTCTAATGATTACATATATAGTGACATAGCAAATACTAAAAGCATAGATAGAAATTCATTGCAAATGATTTTACTATAGGAATGCATTGCAAATTATTTAATAGCCATTTATGTAAGCTGTCTTATCACTGATAGGATTTATTAAACAATATATCAAAACTTTTATTAGCTCTAATGATTACATTATTCTTGAAAGTCGACATTGATAAAAAAGTTAGATAGTCTTGGGGCATAAATTTAAAAAAATCAGATGAAAAGAAAACCAGCTAATAAAGTGTTACATTGTCATTTGCCTTTTCTTTTATCTGATGTATATTACATTTGTCTATTAACATATCTACTTGCCTATATGTCCCTTTTATTCTTTCTGTCTCTCTTTCAGGGTGACCTGCTCAGGCATATTTGTGTTTGTTCAAGCTGTGGCTAGTAGATGCTAGTTATGGTTTCTTAAAGAGAGTGTATAATACAGCATTTTTTTAAAAGAGATTGCATAATCTGGCTTGATCCATGGATTGAACAAAGCCAGTATGCTCAAACCCTTAGTCACGATGACTTGTAACTTGCTCAGCCATTAATGTGTTATGATTGGTTTCCTGTACACAATATCACCCACAAAGCTTGGGTCAACCAGTGTTTTAGTTTGAAGGTATTTCTCGATGATGTGATAGGCTGGAATTGTCTTCCTAAGTTAATATGAACAAAAAGTTACATAGAGTGAGATTCAAATCCAGGACACATGGTCGGAATGCTAATGTTCTAATCCTTGACCATGTGCCATGCATGCACACACACACACACACACACATATATATATATATATATATATATATATATATATATATATTGAAAATTTAAAAATTAAAATCTTCAAACACACTGGGTTGTATATTAATATTTTTTTCGTTTTATTATTATTTCATTTAGATTCCTCGACTAGTTATGGCCATCATCAGGAGAAAAAAAATTTTCTGCTTGCTGGTAGTAATAAACTACAGAAAACTATCTATCTATCTATCTATCTATATATATATATATATATATATATATATATATATATATATGTGTGCACATCTATAAAAAATACAGGGAGCAGAACTTGGATAGAGCAAGTTTTCAGCTACAAAGCACTATTTTCCTACATACCCATCATCACTGGCTATGCTCCAAAAGTAATGTCCCAAAGTTATTTGCATAGAAACTCCAACGGGTACAGGGAGCACAATGACACTGCTGGATAGAGCATGTTTTCACCTACAGAGCACTATAATACTCATAATACACAATGTATTTCCAATCCTATCAGATAAGCAGTAATGCCTTCTTTGGATGTAGATTCCATTTGAGCAACTATATTTGGATATTTATCCACCTATGTGCCATTTTGTTCCACTAACTTTAACCATCTTTGAGGCAGCTTCATGATTCCATCCTTCCAGAACTTGGCATCTTTCTTGGTGATGATCTGGTCTAAGTAGTTTTCCTGGGAATTGTAGTTCTTCCCATTAAGAGAATTTTGTAGGGATTGGAATAGTTGGTAATCCAAAGGTGCAAATTCAGGCAAATATAGCAGATATTGGACACTTCCAACTAAGTGGTACCAATCTCTGCCAGGTCTTTAGAGATTTATGAGGTTAACGTTGCATGCTATTATGAATTAGTAGTATGCAGATATCAATGACATAAGCCGTGCTTCAAACTTGACATTTGTAAATAAAAAAAACAAAACAAATACAGAGAATTTTTTAAAAAGTCAGAGATCGATTTGATACTGTATTTATATTATGAACAGAATCCCCACTTTATAAAATGATAAAAAAATCAATACTTTTCAAGTCTGATAAAAGTCACAGGTTGAAGAAGGTCTCATGAATGCTGATCTATAACAATTTTTACTTTTTTTAATCATTTCACCTGAAGCAAGGCAATAAAGCCACTAAGATGCGGGAGGTGACTGAGTGTGAAAGAATATAAGAAAAAGAAAACATTACAGATAATGATTAATATAAGATTATTGTAAGGTTTTTATGTGCCTCTTTAAATATATTTCTGTTTCCAGTTATTAATATGTGGTAGTTAAATGGGATTATTATTAATATAAAATTGATCCCCCACTTTAAGTCCTGTAGACTTTTAAAACCTGTTTATCCATGCTGTCAAAAATGATATTTTGTTAACCTTGTAAGAGTAAGAACTTTTCATATGTGAGTCTTAAATACATTTGTTTGCAATTTTTAATGTGGTAACTAATGGGGGGGGGCAGTTTTTTACTTAGACCAGCTGGGTGTGGCTGCTAGTTATCAGGAAAAGCGTTCAATTAGAATGGAGCAAAAACAGCATCATGTTTAGATGTAACAGAGTTTATCTTCAATTACGTTAAAGTACTTTCATTAAAAAAACATTTTGAATTAATGCAGTTACTGATATAACAGAAGTAGTCAGTATTTATTCAATCGAAGTTAGCCGAGGACATGAAGGGGTAAAACAGGCAATATGAAGACCCACTTCAGACCACAATTATTTTGGAGTTTTGCAAATTCAATTTGCTACCAGGGATGTAAAAGAGGATACATTTACAAAGCAATTGTTAAGTTTAATGGAAATTGGTTGAAAGATAAACAAAAAATAAGAATGAAACCAGTAAAAATAGCAATTTTTCGCAATTACACAGGGTTTTTGCTATATGGGTGGACTCAATTATCAAGTTAAATGACTGTTAAACAATCAACTTATTGTTGTCTACAATTGAGTGAAGTTTGTATTAGATTGCTTGAAAATTGAGGGAGATTTTAGTTTAAAATTTGTGTTGAATTCAATTTTTCATTTTTCACTAAACACAGTGGCATAGAAATAAAAATGAGGTATTGTTGAGCTAGTCATGATGTAAGTAACCTACATACTGAGTCTGAATAAAATCAGAGGAAAAAAGTTGAATTTATCAATTTTTGATTGGCTTTATCGATTATTGATTTAAAAAAAAATTATCAATTTTTTATGCTAAGAACCTATCTCTTACATTGTAAAATGTATATGCTAAGTTTGATCAAAATTTGTTGGATGGATCTCGAATGAAAAGGTATCACAAAGACAGACAGGCACAGAGACATCCTCTGTTATATATATATATATATATATATATATATAGATAACAATAGAAAGCTGATTCTGCACTTTATGGCCAGTAAACTCTTATTACCAGTTTATCCATGCTGTCAAAAATGATATTTTGTTAAGTTCTTACTCTTATGAGAAAGTTTTCATATGTGTGTCTTTAAATATATTTGTTTACAATTATCAATATGTGGTCCTTAATAGGGGAATAGTTTATTACTTCATGTCAATTGAAAACTGATCCCCCATTTTATGTCCAGTAGAATCTTTATACTAGTTTATCCATGCTGTCAAAAATGATATTTTGTTAAGTTCTTACTCTTATAAGAAGGTGAGTCTTTTAAATATTTTCATTTCTAATTATTAATATGTTGTACTTAATGAGGGATCAATTTATTACTTAATGACAATAGAAAACCTATCCCCCACTTAAGGACCATTGAAATCTTATATTCATACTAGTTTTTTCATGCTGTCAGAAATTATATTTTAATTTCATTTTATTTTTTGTTAATCATTTCACTCCAAGCAAGGCAATAAAGCCACTAAGATGCAAGGGGTTACTGGGTGTGAAATAATACGAGTGAAAGAAAAACATTATTAAGGAGAGAGAACAATAAAAGAACAGGAATTAGGAAGAGAGACGATAACAATTAACTTTGTGTTTAGATTTTTGAAGATCAAAGTTGATTGGGAAGAAAGAGGGTCAGAAGAGAGTTATTCAGAATCAAATCTTTTCTCTATTTTTTATGAGTAGACTAGTTAACGTATGTAGTACTATCCTTTTAAATGAAAATATTTAAAAAGAAAATTCTCTATTGAAAACTTGACAGGAGGAATTCCTGTAATAGATGAATTTCTTTTTTTTTGTTTTTTGTTTTGTTTGTACTTTTTTTTTCTTTTATGTGTCATCCTTATTTAATATATTACAGCTGCTTTCTTTCTTCCAGGTGTTTCTTATCTGAACAATGACCAAGATTGTGCAATCTGCATGGCCAGTGTACGTGACTGTTTGCTCTGCCCCTGTCATCACATGGTCACTTGCTTTGTTTGCTCCAGCATGTTGCTCAACAAACATGACGGATGTCCAATTTGCCGAAAAGACATCACAGAAATTGTCAAAGTCTATCATTCTTAAATATTTTCCTTTTGTGCCTTCAAAGATAAATTCACAAAATAATAGTGCTCTAAAATTGTTGGCCTTGTGGCATACTAAGTATAGTAAATATCACCATTGCTATAAGCTTTTGCTTTGTCTTGTTTGTAAATCTATCATTGTTTTAAAATGGGGCATTTTATGAAAATTTCACTGTTTTCCTGTTTAAATTCCCTAATGTATGGTGATTCCTAAATTAATGTTTAAATAAGCTCCTTGCAAGTTCCATGACTATAAAATACCTGTGAGAATTCCCTGATTACAGTGTTAAATGTTTGAGCTTAAAAAACCTTTAACAAATCTACAGCAATAGAAAATTATTTAAATTATTTAAAGAAGTCAGAGGGTACAAATGAAGATTTAAAATTGACAAGTTTTTCTATTTCAATGGAGTAGACGTTAAATGCATAAGAATGTTATTGCCTCCTCTATCTTCCCTTTCTTCTTTTTTTTCTTACTAAAACAAACAACATCTTTGGTATATCTTTTTCTTCTGTCATTTCTTGCAATCAAAACAGTCAGGTTAGTCTTACGCCTCCTACTGGTAACATATAACCCAGTACAACTTGCTGCATGGATCAGTGGTTGGTGTCTAAACCAGCTCCCTCACTAACTTTTTTCTGCTGGTGAGGAGGGTGGCAACTCACCCCTCTACAAGATGAAAAAAAAGATCTTTCAGAGGATGGATGAGCTTCTTATAGGAGCCAACATATAAATAATAATAATAATTAGGAAAAAAACTTTAAAAAATTCAGTAATAAATTTATTTTAATGAATATAGGTATATTAGTCTCATCAGACTGACATTTTCAATGTTTGTTTGATGAGATGAATATACTCATCGAAATAAATTTATTACCGAATATGGATTTTTAATGTTTTTTTTTCCTAATTATTATTATAAATTGCTCTGTATCATATGTTGAGCTCTCATATGGACTAACGGTTTTCTTTAGAGTAATCCTTACCAATTACAATTTGGTATTATATATATATATATATATATATATATAAGGCTGTTATGAGGTCTCAAGCTTTGAATGGCAACCTTCTTGTGATGGTGTCTTAATAAATACTAAATGTACTTGGACTACTGTGAGTCTCTGAATTGGACGTCAGGAAGAGCATCTGGTCTTGTAAAACCTTGCCTTAAGTCATTATGACAAATCCTTTGTCAGGTAGGACCCACCATGATTTGTGCAAGATTAATCCCGGTTCTGCCTCAACAAAAAAAGAACACAGCTAAGTATGTGTTTATGTAAGATGGAAAGGTCTATTATTTATCCAAGGTAATGGGATGTGTTAGCTAACTTAGTAATTAACAGAGGAACAATCAGAATTATAACAACTTTTCTTGAAGATTTGCTTCAATGCCCTAAATGTTGTATGTCTTTTTGACCCAGAACTAGCTTCTCAATATGGATTTTCTGTCATATGATTGAACAGGTTTAAGCAAAAAATGTCTGATAATCCTTAATTTAAACATAACTTTCAATAGGATAAGAAAGAGATGTATAAAAAAAAATAAACAAACACGCTTATATAGCAATGGAATAGGAATCATTTCAATTTATCCTTGTTATCTACATCAGTAGAAAATTAAATTCTTTAAAAAAAAAAAAAAAAAAAAATGAAGGCATTTTTTGATCAGCCAATCTGCCAGTTAAGTTTTTCTTTTTATTTTCTTTTGTTCTTGAATATTATAAATATCTAAAGTAGAATTTTCAAAAACTGGTGTGTTGCGGCACTTAAGTAAGGTGTTGTAAAAAATTTATTTCCAAAAAATGTGTTATCAAAGCAAAAACACTTGGCAATCCTTTGTCTAAAATGCAGCTTCATATAAATTTAATACCGTCATTAGGGTTTGTTTTGATTTTTGCTTACTTTCATCTTAATTAAAAATAAAAATTTATTACTTTTTATCACACCTTTAACCAGGCTGCCTATTGCCTGGAGAAGAATAAATGTTTGATAATAGTAACATTAACTGTTTCCTTATAAGGAAACATTCAGCATTCATTGACTGAGTTACCGGTTGATGTTTACAAAACCTTCCCTTAAAACAATTTTTGGGGAAAATATGTTTCTCAAGTCCAGTAGCTGTTATTGGTCTTTCCAGTATTATGCTTTTCTTCCTAACTTTTTGTTGGAAGTGGTGGAGGACTTTAGCATCTTGATTATATCATCATTTTCTGTTTGAATTAGATGTGCTATCCATTTTAATTGTTGTTTCTCTTGGAAGTCTTTAAATGATGTGGTTTGTGATTCTGTAATGCCAGTCTACAATGCTTTAAGAAGTATTGTCTTCACCAAGATACACAGTCTGCATCCTGGGTATGACGATAAACTACGTCCGAATGCAAGGCCACTGATCAGGAGGTTTTGAGGAGCATGGAATCACCTCTTAATTGTTGTTGTTACCAGGTCCACCCTGACTCAGGGTGGTAGAACCTGTTAGGGTCCCAGCTATGGGCAAATAGTTAACTCACAAATTGGGGTCAAAACACTATTGAAAGTGAAGTGTAAAAATAGGTTTTAATATCAGAAATACTTTATAAAAAATATTACCAGCAATACATTTTTGAAGAAAAATTATTACCAGCAATAAAAATGTCGGCATTAAATAACCCATTGAGGTGTTGATATGCCGTAAAATCAAAACAACCAAGATATACAGTTTTCAGTTGCTCGAAGCCGTTTGGAATTATTGATCTGAAAAAGCAGTTGTATACAACTGGCTGTTTAGATTTATCTAAACAACAACAAAAAAAAATTGATCTATTTTATGGCTTTGAAAATTGTTTGAACAAGACTTCAGTTGGTTGTTTTGTTTTATGGCATATCAACCTCAGTGGGTCATTTAATGCCAACAAAATTTTTGAAATAGATTCATAGGGATTGTTTGGTAGAAAAGGTGTGTATGTATACATATATATTTGAACCATTTTTCAATTACTCATATTTTTGAGTACAATCCAACTTCTTTCAGGAAATTTACAATCTTGGATGGTTTTATTTTCATAAAAGTTTTTTTTTTTTAATTACTCACTTGGTAATATTTTGTTCATACTAGATCAAAATCTACAAACTCTAATATTATATGTTTCACTGTAAATTTTAATTGTTGCTGATAATAATTTTTCCTTCAAAAATAATTGCTGGTAATAATTTTTTTTTTTTTTTATTAAAAAGTATTTCTGGTATTAAAACCTATTTTTAAACAAGTTTGGAGGTTAACTATTTGCCCATAGCTTGGACCCTAACAGGTGCTACCACCCCGGGTCAGGGTGGACTTGGGAACACCAACAATTAAAAGGTGGCTCCACACTCCTCAAAACCTCCTGATCAGAGGCCTTGCTGCTGGACGTTAGTTTATCGTCTTACCCAGGATGCAGATGCAGTTTATCGTCATACCCAGGATGGAACAAGACTTCAGGGGTGAAAAAAAAAAAGATTAATGATTAAAATGGCTTTGAGCAGGTGAAGTCTGAGGATCTCAGTGAAGACCACATTTCTTTGAACTTTGTCCACTGGTGCTACAGAATCACGACTAAAGAACTGTACCAAATATGAGAAACAGCACCACTTGAGAATTTCAACAACAACTAAAATGGATAGTACACATAATTTGAAGAGAAAACAATGACATCATTAAGATATTGATGTCCCATATGACTTCAAACTCAATGTTAGGAGGATAACCTTCACCCATCAATACTTGAAAGAGCAATAACAGTTACTGGACCTGAGACAACCTATTTTCCTGAAAAAATGTTTTAAAAGACAGAATTATAAATTCCAATTGACAGTACTGGCTGCTCAGTCGATGAATGCTGAATGTTTCCTTATAAGGAAACGGCTAATATTACCCTTAAGAGTTTGACATACAGGGTGGCCCAAAGATTGTGCTACCACTGAAAAACTATAATTTTTATATTTATTTACTAAATTGACTTTTTCCTGTATCTGAGAAAATATTATTTGGAAAGGTTATTGGTCTTATTATGGTAGATAATATTACACAAATTTCCTCCAGTTGCCATTTCACAAGTGCTTGTTTTTTTTACAGCTTGAATTTTGGATTACCCTGTATATGATTACTTAGATTTTGTTTTGGTAAATAGAATTAAATTTATCAATACATTTAATGTTACCTTGAATGTTCGAGTGACCATTATGAGTTGCAATATAAGACTACTTTGATTTTTGTTTTGGTAAATAGATTTAGATTTATTAATACATTCAATGCTAGGTAGGATATTTAAACCTTTACATAACACCATCTAAGATCTTTTAGAGTGACCATTATAAATTGCTATATAAGATTACTTAAGCTTTATTTTTCAAAAATAGAATTAAATTTATTAATACATTCACTGCTACCTTGGATATTTGAACCCTTACATAACGCCATCTATGTTTTTTTAGACTGGCCATTATAAATTGCTATATAAAACTACTTAAGTTTTATTTTTACAAATAAAGTTAAATTTATTGAACTATAAATGATGATATGTATCTTTGGCACTGTGTTTATTTATTGTCTTCATCATATGTTTTTATATGATTTGTTATGTTTTGTCACAAAGCATCTCTAGAAATCAATGTTAAAAAAATAATCATCACACTATGTAAGTTATTGGATAAAATACAAAGGATGGAATGGAGAGTCATGTGTTAGAAGCACTGCACAACATTGCCACAAGATTTATGTATATAGTGTTGGGTTTATGGGTTAAAGTGGAAATTGGACCAATTTTAAATGATTTTTATTTGTTTCGGTTTTTATCAATAAAATATTATTTCAAAACTTGTAATGAATTTTTTTTCAATTGAAATATTTCTTAAAAGAAAATTGAATGGTTGCTGGCCTTGTGAAATTTATTCAATGAACAATTTAAACGACTATCACCATTGTTGTTTTGATTGTAAAGAGTTTGTGTCCCTCTTTCCAGCCCAAAGAGTTCAAGGTCATTTTCCAG